TTCCTACTAACAAATCAAATCAGTGTTTTGGTCTGGTTCATTCTAGGGTGGCCGTGCTTATGGAAAAGTCTTCCCACACCATTCTGCCCCACCTCTCACAAACTGAAACTTAAAAAACAAAAGTGTAATTATTATGTTCTCTCAGCTTGTCAGTACATCAAGCAAATAGTCTTGTGGAGCCATAATCAGAAGAAGTGTAGCATCCTTTATGTGCTTGTAAAATCCATCCATTTAAGTGCTTCACCTATCTGTTCTTAGAGATTGAATTACTACAAGGGTAATGGAAATCCTGCAGAGTGCTTTGGGACATCCTTTCCCACACAACAATCGTTTAATCACAGACAAACATTGAGCATTATGCCATAATATATATCACCATCTACATGTGAGTGAGTAGAGGAGAGACACAAAGACCACAGAAGGTCTGAAAAAGCATGCCTGTAACGAAACATACAGTACTCTACAGTAAAGTGTGTATTTACGCTTTTTATTTGACAAATGTTAGTCAAATAATAATCACAAAGCCAAGAGCAAAATTCATATTTGCAGGAAATCTGAGTCATTATCAGGATCAGCATCATAATGGATCTTAATTGAAGTAATAAAAAAGTAAAACGATAAAGAGATTGGTCTTTTACTGTTCCCATTCTGCTAAATACCTCCTGGGAAAGGTGGCAAAAGGCAGTACTTTAATGAAAGATTAATATACATCAAACCTTACTGCTGCAGAGTGGAGTCTACGTGTGTCTGTGTTACTCATGTTGTGGGGGCATCTGTTTACACGGTCACCTTGTGGGGACTAATTTCACTTTTGGGGACAAAACACATGTCCTCATAATGTAAGGCTGATGGGTAGGCAGGTAGTGGTTAGGGTTAGTCTCCTGGGAAAATATGTGAGTCAGTGATGGAAACATGAAAGTGTGTGTGTGTGTGTGTGTGTGTCCGGGGTGTGTATGTGGGTTTGTGTGGAAGAGTAGGAGCTCATTTCACACACAGCCACATATTATCACATCGTCTGACCAGAGGAAACATCACCACCTTCCTCCCTATCACTGCCAGCTTTCACTGATATCACTTTCTCATCTCGTCATTCTCTTCTTTGGCGGATTTTCTCATCTCTTCCCCTTCTCCTGTGGTCTCCTTGTCTTTTTTTACATTATCCAGCTTAGATTTTAGTTCCTTGTCTCCAGTGATGTCGTCCCTTCTGAGAGAGGAAATGCAGAGACTTTTATTCCGACCTGCAAAACAGAGACTCGTGGAATTTATTGAGATTCAAGAGCCATCACACGGAAGACATTTCCTCTGCGTTGCAGGTAAACAGCCTTCTTGAAACTGAAAGCAGTAAATATGCTTGATCTTTATGATGGATTTTTCACCATATTATTTTGGATCCAGTTAAGCTGTAAGAATTGTGAACATGTCTTTGTGTTTTATTGTAATAATCTATTTAGCAAGCTGTCTGCTTTTCAAGGCTCTATTTCTTCTATAGATTTTTAAAAACTCCATTGTTGTCTGATTTTTCTGCAGTTTGCAAAAACAAATTGGTGCAGTTATGTATAGTGCGATGCCAGATCTCTCACAAATCCATAAGGACTGGATCCAAAAAGTACAGCACTAAACGCTCCAGCATACAGGAGTGCTACCGGAGAACAGAGGTCTGGTCCCTGCAAGACCTGACTCTCGTTGATGGACGGGACCCTGATGTGGTAATTAATCTTATTTTGTCAGAAATTCAGTAGCTTGGTTTTGCATTATTTCCTATAGCTTTCTATAAAAAGAATGAATGGTATATAGAATACAATTATTCAGATAAAATATTTTCTAATTACTTAACACTTCTACTTTTTTTTTTAATTTGGAAAGCTTTAAAACAATGTAATTTATCTCAAACTATAATTTGCCACTGTAATTATAATACACCTATTTGTTGTGTACAACCACCTCAATTCTCTGTTTTAATATTGTAGAAATCTAGGTTTAAAAAAACAAAATAAAAACACAATGTTCGTCCAAGGTTCATATATAGACGAGTGTCAAATGAAAGGACAAACTAATATAAAGTGTCTTCGTACGGTGATGCGCCACCAGGATAGTTTCATTTCACCTTGAACTCTACTGGAAAAAAAGATGAACACCATTCTCCAAAAAGATTTTCCCTCTGGCATTTTGATGATGGTGATGGAGCCGCTGTCTAACACATCAGTCCAGAATCTTCCACAGGTGTTCATCTGGGTTGAGGTCTGGTGACTGTAAAGGCCATAGCATATGATTCACATCAAACTCATCAAACCATTCAGTGACCCCTCAAGCTCCGTGGATGGGGGCACTGACATCTTGGAAGAGACCAATCCCATCAGGATAGATACATTTCATCATAGAATAAAGGTGATCATTTTGAACAACTCTGTATTGGTTTGCCATGTTCCCTCTATGGGAACAAATAGACTCAAACTACATCAGCAGCTGCAATTGCTGTGTTTCTTCACTCATTTATTCAGGTTTTTCCTTTAATTTGTCACTCGTCTACAGTTTATCTGAAGTTTTCTTCCACGCTTGTCAAACAATATACTTCATTTAATCATAAATCATTATAAACATAATACATATTATAGATTAATATAAATAAATCAAACAGTCATTCAATCCTTCATCTCCCAGCAGCCAGCCTGCTTTTATAAATCTGGCTCTAGTTCTCCATAATAATCAATTTGGTCTGTAGGCTTTAAAGTTCTTATTAATATAAATAAATCATAAATCAAACAGTCATTCAATCCTTCATCTCCCAGCAGCCAGTCTGCTTCTATAAATCTGGCTCTAGTTCTCCATAGTAATTAATCTGGTGTGTAGACTTTAAAGTTCTTTTCCATAACTGTTAAATCACTGTGTCAGCTCTGCTTTTAAAATGATTACACAAAAGATTTATTGTTTGTGTAAGTAACGCTATCTCAATCTGTGCCTGTGTGTTCTGTGGCCCCAGGATGACCCCTGTTTCTACATGCACTTCGACAAGGTACGAACAGTGACAGCCATCAGCTGCTCAGCCAAATACGCTATTGTGCGTGCCATGGTTACTCTCAGCGACCGGTACTGTCAGAGGTCATTGAACCTGCGGAACTTTGACTGGACCTACATCAAGCCCACCTCCTTCTACTCCAACAGAGGAGACTGCATTGTTCTGTCACAAATATGTTTCTATGCATTCAATTTGGTGTGTCTGTCCATGTGTTCCGTGCCCGATGCATTAAAAAATTAAACAATGCGTGTGTGTGTTAGTGAATTAAGATTTGTGTGTACATGTACTGTGGCAGATTTAATATGTATAACTTGTGTTGAGGAGGAGGCGTAAAGTAAATGTATGCTTGTCTTGTCTATTACACTACTAGGGCTTTGATGAAGACTTATTTGCCATGAAGTCTCTTTTGCATTAATACTCTGCCTAATGCATTTTCATGGCAAATGGAAGTTTCAAGCAGCATTGTATTTAACTGTATAACGTACATTTTTGATCTTTCAATTACTTATCTTTGAGTGCTACTGTGAAAATGTGAAATTCAAATGGAGAACAAATAAAGCAGTCTATTTGATTTTTTTCTAAGCCATCTTAAAACTAACTACATCCAAATACTTGTTTTCTAATCTGTTTTGTAGAATATTTTAGATGACATGCATTGGGGCATACATTGTCCAGTCCACATGTAGAAGTGTCCTTGAGCAAGACACTGAATCCCCAGTTGCTCCCAGTGATGTCACCGGTGTGTGAATGTGTGAGTGCTTGGGAGGGTGAATGAGTGAATGGCCAAATAGGGTGAAGGCACTTTGAGTGTGCTGCAATGTACAGAAAAGCGCTATCCAAGTATAAGACCATTTACCATGTGGTAATCTATGCATATACCTATACCTATAATCACATTTTTCCTGTTTCCAGTGCTATCATTGTCACTATACCACTGAGGAAAGTCAGATGTCATATTCTCTGTTTTCTTTTATGGAAATTGAGTGTTTAGCAACTATGGAGAAGGTTTACCTTCTACATTTTTTTTTAAACATTTAGCAGATATTTTCCTGGCTGATTCCTGTATAGTTTAAACTCACTGTAATGGCCACCTCTAGTTCAATAAAACAGTAAATAAAGAATTTAGTAGATAGTTTTTTTCTTACCATATTTTTATTGCATTTAGTAACAACAATTTTAGTCCTTCATATAAAAATCTAAATTAATAGAAAATATACCTGGGCGCTAATTGAATAAATAAAACGTGAAAAATAAGATAAATTACATATATTGTGTGTCTGATCAAAGTGAGAGGAAGGAGATCTTGGATCATGCCTCCAGTAGGCTATTTAACACTTATGCTAGGACTTTGTTGACTTATACTTCAAGGTTTTCCTTATTTAACATAAAATCACTGTTATAAGATATTAATGCCGTAGGTTACATGCTATTATCATTAAAATATCTGCACAGTCGCTTTAAAGGCCGATATAATATCCATCAGTGATGATGTTTCGCCAAGGGGACTGGCCAGAACAATGTGGCTTCTTATACGGGCTATTTATGTTTCGTTCCACCTGTGGGTAGGCTTCCCACCTACAGGGGGCGACAAAACACGGAACTATTGCAACAGGCGAGAAGTCAGTGGCATTTGGAAGGCTTAAAATTTGCCTGATGAAAAAAGTATACATATAAATATGTCTGTATATATGTATTGCAATGTTCTTTGCGTTTTGTATTTGAAATTCAAATTATCCATATTTATTTATTTAGTTAACTATTTATTGTTGTGGTAAGATATCTTACATTCATTTGTCTTGTTCCCGACACAGGCGACGGACTAACCGCTCTGTACCTGCCGCCAAAATTCAATCTAAAAGAGAGAGCAAGCGTCCCTGTTGTTGTCGGTTTCGCTGTAACGGATTGCTTCACTGTTTAGTTTATTAATTTCATATTCAAACATCATAGATCTTACTTCCGAATTCAGCGAAGAGAGGACAGCCAAGGATGTACATCAAGTCTATCGTTCTTGAAGGTTTTAAGTCCTACGCACAGAGGACTGAGATTAATGGGTTTGATCCGCTGTTTAACGCCATCACAGGACTGAATGGCAGCGGAAAATCAAATATTTTGGACTCGATATGTTTTCTTTTGGGCATTACTAATCTCTCCCATGTAAGTGTGCTGTCAGAGATAGAGCTGCTAGAAGATATAATCTAGGTTGAAACCTGCACAATAGCTGGACTAAAATTGGTTATTACTTTGAATTTCAACGCTATATTGCAGTTTCCGTCTGTTTCAATCGAGTTGGCAGTATAATGTAAATAGTTAACTATGTTAGCTAGTTGCCTGATTATAGTTTCTACTAAACACGTTTTGTGCCCTTATATGTACACTGGGGGAAATAAGTATTCAACACGTCAACATTTTTGTCTCTAAACATATTTCCAGTGCTGCTATTCAGACATCGCTATTAACTCAATAAGGCAACATGACTAAATAAATCATAACTTAACCCGTTATTAAAGGTAGATGGTTCATACAACAATACTGGTCAGCATGTGTCCCTTTGTTTCATTTTTACTTGAAAGGTTCGAGCCTCCAACCTCCAGGACTTAGTTTACAAAAATGGACAGGGTGGCATCACCAAGGCCACTGTGTCTGTCATCTTTGACAACTCCAACAAAAACCAGAGCCCTCTGGGGTTTGAAGTCCAAGATGAGATCACAGTCACTAGACAGGTTAGCAAGAAAGACACCGTTAATTTTTGAAGGCCGTATAATTGCTGTACAAAGTTAAAATTGTGTTTTACATACCCCCTTTCTTCTTCAAGGTGGTAATTGGTGGCAGGAACAAGTACCTCATCAATGGAGTTAATGCCAGCAACACAAGGGTGCAGGACTTGTTCTGCTCTGTTGGCCTCAATGTCAACAACCCACATTTTCTTATCATGCAGGTTAGTTTTGTGTCTGCAGCAGTGTGCATGGTGGTAGTTGTAGACTTCCACACTTTAAAGCTTTTGTATGCTTGCTGACAAAACTAATGTGTATATTTCATATCATATCATATTTCAAATATTTCAGGGGAGGATCACCAAAGTTCTAAATATGAAGCCACCAGAGGTAAACGATACCTCACTTTCTTACTGTCAGAACCTTTACAAGTATTTATTTTTCAGGTCTTCCAATGAACACTTTTCTCCTTCCAGATCCTTGCCATGATTGAAGAAGCAGCAGGCACCAGGATGTATGAATGTAAAAAGATTAGCGCTCAGAAAACCATTGAGAAGAAAGAGGCCAAGCTGATGGAGATTAAGATGGTATGTCTGTCCATGCTGCAATGAGGAGCTGCCCCAACTAAAGTTGTAACTAATGTCAAAAATGTTTTCTCTCTGTTTATGCTTTCAGGTTGTGAAAGAGGAAATTACTCCAACCATGCAGAAACTGCAAGAGGTAAGTTGACTTCAAAACCACATTTGTTTCTCTTGTCAGGAATATGAAAGCTGTGGAGTGCTTATTTCTCTTAAACTTTCCTCTGTCCGCAGGAACGAGCAGTGTACCTGGAGTACCAGAAGATGATGCGTGAGATCCAGCACTTGTCGCGGCTGTATGTGGCCTGGCTGTTTGTGTGTGCAGAGGAGACCAAGCTGAAGTCAGCAGAGAATCTGAAGGTGATGCGGGATAACATCGCCAAGATGCAAGACAGCATGGCAGAGAACGAGGGCAAACTCAAGATGCTCTCAGCTCAGATTCAGGAGCTGCAAAAGAAAAGAGATCAGGTACATTGCAAGTAAGGAGAGAAATAAGATTAGGCTGCCATTTTTGTGGAAAGAATGCTTGGCTGCTGATTGAAAATGATTAAATGACTTATTTGTAACTTTATTTCTACTTGGATGTTGACAACAGTTATTGAACATTTTAGCCTTTTCTCCTGGATGATGATCTCAGCTTTAAGAGAGTTTGGAAGATGTGTTCAAAATAAAATGTTTTGTATGCTTTCATGAAACTAAAACTAGAAATCAGAATTCTTGAGACACTTTTTCAATTATGTTCATCTGCACATCTGTAGGAGGTGAATGGAGTGTTGAAATCCATGGAGGAGGCTCTTACTGAAGTGCAGCGTGTTGATGCCAAAGCGCAGAGTGCACTTGACCTCAAAAAGCAGAATCTCAAAGATGAAACCAAGAAAAAGCAGGAGTTTGTAAAGAGTATGCAGGAGGTAACAGAACCGTGCTGTCAGTCCATCCACCTACATAAGCTGACAAAATCAGTGGGATTTGTTATCTCTTATTAAAGCAAAAAGTTGGTTGATAGTTTGCTGATTTCTTTATCAAAACTATAATGACATCTCTTTTTCTCTCTGCCCCCAGGACAAGAAAATGCTTGTGGTAAAACAAAAAGAGGTTTCTAAGTTGATGGAGCAGCTTGAGGCTCTGCAGAAGGAGGGACAGAAGGATAGTGCTGCCCTTGAGGCAGCTGAGCAGCATTTCAAAGCTGTGTCTGCAGGTCTCTCCACCAATGAGGATGGAGAAGAGGCCACACTGGCTGGGCAGATGAGCAAGGCAGACACTGAAGCCAAGCAGGTGGGGGGGGGGGAATTTAATACCTGCCAGAGATTTGATATTTCAGGGTTGGTGTTTCAAATTGCAAATTTACAGTCATTCTAGTACAAACATTTATGCTGGATAGCTTGAGTACACATTGTAGGCATGTTGTTTCTTATGGCTAAATGTTATGAAATTGTTTCATAATTTTATTATTAACCTCTGTCCTCTTTCTTTGCCTCCAGGCCAAGATGACTCTGGAACATGCCCAGGCTGAGCTGAAGACTAAACAGGCAGAGGTGAAAAAGATGGACGGCGGCTACAAGAAGGACCAGGACAGCTTGCAGGCTATCAGAAGCAGTAGGGAGAAACTGGAGGCTGAGTTAGCTAAGCTCAACTATGAAGGTACTGTGTGTGTTTGGTTGTCAGTTGTAGCAGAGTTCCTTATACTTGTGACGGTTGCCCATTCTAACAAACATGCTGTAATAACAGAAGGAATGTGTTCTGCCTTGTTTGCAGATGGGAAGGAGGAAAGTCTGCTGGACAGAAAAAGGCAGCTGTCCAGAGAGGTCACCAAACTTAAGGAGACCTATGAGCGTTTCATGTCCCGCTTCCCCAACTTACGCTTTGATTACAAGTAAGGACTTGGTGAATGAATTTACTAATTTCTTTTACAGAAACCACCCAGTATATTTTGAATGTAAATGTTCCTGCTGGGTGGCATAGTGGTGTAGTGGTTGACTCACAGCAAGAAGGCTCCAGATTCGAGCCCTGGCCAACCCGGTGCCTTTCTGTGTGGAGTATGCATGTTCTCCCTGTGCCACTTATGGTTACTGGTGACTCTAAATTGCCTGCAGGGGTGAATATGGGTGTGTGTGTGGGTGTCTGTCTCCAAGTGTCAGCCCTGTGCTGTGGGGTTGGATGCCCAGTGCCATACACCCCATAACCCTAACTCTCTTGGACAAAAGCAGGGTGATGCAATGGATGTGGGCCCAGTATATTTTGAATGTAAATGTTCCTGCTGGGTGGCATAGTGATAAGAAACTAAGATACCATCTTAGATGAAAGTGGAGTGAGGAAAGATAAAGTGAATTGGTATCTTCCAGCTTCTGACTGACTGAACACACCTGAGCCAGGTAATCAGCAGCAGGTCAGGCAGGGATAGTTGGAAAACAAGCAGGACAGCAGCCCTCGAGGACTGGAATTGGCCACCCCTGGTCTAATACAACATTGCTGCAGTAAATCCTCCCTTCATGAAGGTGATAAAGTTCACTTTTCAACTGTGTGGTCATTTTGGAAGCTATAGTTTGTGGTGCTGTTGTATTATATTGCATTATACTGACAGGTGCTTCTTATTTTGTCCAAGGGGGGATTTCATGCAAGACTAATCAGACAGCATTAGTTATAGCTTGGTGTATATAATAATCTGCCAAGTGATTGTATGTATGATTGAGTAAATGCCTGTTGACAGGTGTAAGGAGAAAATTTCAACTCATCGTCTCATCATATTGCCTTTCTTTTAGGGATCCAGAGAAAGGGTGGGACCGTAGCAGAGTGAAGGGGGTGCTAGCTAACCTGATCACAGTCAGTGACACCTCTTATGCAACAGCACTAGAGGTGGTGGCAGGAGGGCGGCTCTATAACATTGTAGTTGACACAGAGGTAGGTGTGTGAGTGTGTGTTTGGTGCAACCATATTTTGGTGCTTAAATTTTAGTATGGCAGTGTTGTTGAATTGGTGATTTTGTCTTTGTTAGGTAACTGGTAAAAAGCTGCTAGAGAAGGGAGAGCTGCAGCGGAGATACACCATCATTCCACTGAACAAGATCTCTGCCAAGACACTCAAGGACAAAGTGGTCAACACAGCCAAGAATCTGGTGAGAGCTCTAAATGCTGCCTGGTTTGGAAATGTTAAAAAAACAAAACTTATAGTGAAACAGGACAGTCCTTTTACTGATTTCTCTGTACTGTCTCCCTCATCTGTCAGGTTGGAGAGGACAATGTCCACACAGCTCTGTCCCTGGTGGGTTATGAATCTGACCTCTGTAAGGCCATGGAGTATGTCTTTGGCTCCACACTGGTGTGCGACACCCTGAACAACGCCAAGAGGGTGGCTTTTGACAAGCAGGTGATGACCAAGACCGTCACTCTAGGAGGGGACATCTTTGACCCACAGGGAACTCTGACCGGAGGTGAGAACAAGAACGAGGCATGTACTTGAGTATGTGTCATTGAAAGGTCACTAGGGGGTGCCAGAAGAAAGTAGATAAAACCACTAAAGTCATGAAACAAACTAGGTACTCAGTTGGATGTCTTTTGCACCTAAGTGTTTCTTAAAATTGTGCTTTTGTTGTGACTGTTTTTGTATTAGATTTGAGCATTAAGACAGTTTTAACTTAATTGCCTCTGGTTAAATGAAATCAATTTTCAGACACAAGCACTCAATTCAAGTGTACATTTCTTTTTTTATTTGTTTTATTTCTTCCCCTTTGCTTTATCCAGGTGCTCGTTCCCAGTCATCGTCAATACTGTCCAGTCTGCAGGAGCTAAAACAGGTTCAGGACCGTTTGAATGAGAAGGAGGCCCAGCTACAGGATACTGAGCGACAACTGGCAAACCTAAAGGGAACTGCTGACAAGTATGAAGACAAACACACAAAATACCTAGAGAAATTAAAATGATTCAGATGTGCATTTACCATACAATGTCCCAGTGAGTAACTCCATGTTTTTAACACTTTATTTCTCTGACATTAATTGTCATTGTGGTCCCCTGCCCACTTCTTCTGCTCTTCTTCTTTCACTCCACCACATTCTCTAGGTACCGGCAGCTTAAACAGCAGCATGAGCTGAAGGTGGAGGAGGAACAGATTCTGCAGGCAAAGTTGCAGCAGAGCTCCTTCCACCAGCAGCAAGAGGAGCTGGAGAGGCTGCGCAAGGCCATTGGTCAGAACACTAACACTTATTTTAATTTCAGTGAATTCCACTGGGCAGTTCACACACACACACACACACACACACACATTTGTTTTCAGTCCCCATGGAAACTTTACATTTAACCTTGCCTTAACCTTAAACAAAGTCATCACACTAGAATTCAATGATTTACATGGTGGGGACGCTGGTCCCCACAAGAAAAGCAGAGTCCCCACAACATGAGTGTGTAAACAGGTTTCGGTCAGTCTGAATGTGGGTTTTTTTGTTAACCAGAGGAGAGTGAGGAGACTTTGCGTGTCACCAAGGACGTGCAGAAGCGGGCTGAACAAAAGTACAAGGTGCTGGAGAACAAGATGAAGAACGCTGAGGCAGAGAGGGAGAAGGAGCTGAAGGCTGCACAGCAGAAACTCAGTGCAGCCAAGGCCAAAGCTGATGCCTTCAATAAGAAGCTGAAGCAGAAGCAGCAGGTGCACTGACCAGACACAGTTAGGCACAGTCATCCTCTCCATGCACTACTTTAACCTTTGTATTGCATTGTATTGAATGCACTTCTCTTTTTCTCTCAGCAAGAATCTACTGGTGCATCTAGTGAACTGATCGACTGTTTCTCTTTTTTTCTTTTCTTGCTCACATTTGCAGGAGTCTGATGCTGTGGCCCTGGAGCTGGAGGAGCTGCAGAGGGAGCAGGCTGGTTATGAGCAGCAGATTCAGGCTGTAGATGAAGCCATGAAGGCCATCCAGGAGCAGATAGACACCATCACTTGCACAGTATCCCAGAACAAGGTATTTATATTTTTGGAAGAAGTGTGTGTGTGTGTGTCTGTATTGGCTGAATAGAGCTCAGATCAGGGTGCAAAGTCATTTTTCATTCTGTCGCTCTTGTAGACAGGATCTCTAAGTCTGCTATGAGGTAACGGCAGTCAGCTAAGGTTACCCATTCTGAATTACCAGTCAGTGAAGTGAGATCTAAATCAATTAAGCAACTTTTTAGCCAAACAGAACAAGAATGCATGCAGGTAAATACAGAGCGTATCTCCCAAAATGGCTCCCCCGTGGCTTGATGTACCTTCACAAATGTTCTGTTTAAGTCTGTGTTGCTGGTCAATCACAACGAACTGTAAATAACACACTAGTCATCATAGCCCAAAACAGTCTGTTGTGTTGGTGTTAAGGTTCTATTCTCATGTTCACCATTCATCCTTCCCCTTTGCTGTGCAGGAGGCAGTGCGTAAAGCCCAGGAGGAGCTGGCCAAACAGAAGGAAGTGATAATGGCACAGGAGCATGAACTCAAGGTAAGTACAGTTTATCCCTTTTACTCGCTACTTGAGAAGATTAGAGTAGTAAATTCAGTTGTAGGTTCCAAATGAAGATGGCAGTGTGTAGATTTAAAAAACAAAAATGAAACAAACCTGTAGAATAAAAATCAGATATGTAGAAGCCATGTTTTGTTGCACAGCACTTGCAAGTGTTGTGAGAATATGTTGGCTTACGTTAGGGGTGTAACTCCATTCTCTTTGCAGAGGATCTGATGTTTGTCAATACTTAAAAAAAATGCCACGATGTGGTTTCAATTCAATCCAGGGGCCTGCAATTGATATCAAGCAACATTTTAATTAACTAAAATGTAACCAAAGTCTAATTTTAAAATTTTCCAATGTCCTTCCAATTCAACAAACTTTGTTTGAGATACGAAGCATTTACATTGTCAAACATACAAAAAAGCTGGAAAAAACTGGGAAAAAGCTGGGAGTTTTGTGTAAAACGTAACATTCATGCTTACTGTTGTGTGTTTCATTTTTAATCCAGAATACTTCTATATCCACAACCTGTTACTGAAGGGACAGTTTATCTGTATTTTTCTTGGCTGTGTCAGGGTGGACTGAACGGATCAAATGCTTCAGTAGCTTATGCGCTGCTCACGTCTCAGTTTTAGTGTGAATTCCCAGTCTCGGAATACTAGCTGTACTGCTTGGCGCTTGTTGTCTAGTTTGAAAAGTCAGCACTTTACTGGAAATGCATGTATATGTGGCTGGCTGTCAAAATAAAAGCACACACAACATTGATGTTTACGTTTTGCATCCATGTCATCAGATCGCCAAGTGTTTGATCGATGGATCGTTACACCCCTTGTTTATGGCTTTCTTGATCATACAGTAAAGACTCAGTTTGTATCTGGCTTGACTGCTCATTGGAAGCATCTTTTTATCCGTTTAAATGTCACAGGGGATGAGCTCAGAGGCTAGTAAGCTAAGGGAGCAGAACAATGAAGCCCAGCTGAAGATCAAGGAGCTGGAACACAACATTAGTAAGCACCACAAAGACAGCCAGGACGCTGCTGACAAGGTACATACGAGCCCATCATATAGACTTTTCACAGTCCATTGAGATACTAAGTTTCATCTTATCTACTATGATGCGAGTCTTCTAAATGTTTGTGTCCCCCCCTTTGCCTTTCTTTCTTCTTCCAGGTGTCTCGGATGCTGGAGGAACATGATTGGATCCATTTAGAACGACAGTTCTTCGGTCAGCCAAACACCCCTTATGACTTCAAGACCAACAACCCCCAAGAAGCGGGCCAGCGGCTTAAGAAGCTGGAGGAGGCGACCTCCAAGCTGGAAAGAAACATCAACAAGAAGGCCATGAACATGCTGAATGAGGCAGAAGAGAGGGTGAGGACACAGAGACTATGGGATATTGCTGTATAACCAGATACTAAAATGTCAACCTGGTCAAACATTTCCCCCATTGTGCCCTCGCATTTTTCCTATCTTGCAGTACAATGACCTAATGAAGAAGAAGAGGATTGTGGAGAACGACAAAGCAAAAATTTTGCAGACCATTGAGGAGCTGGACCAGAAGAAGAAGGACGCTCTCAATGTGGCCTGGCAGAAGGTTGACTCGCTTTTAGCACCTCCATCTTGTTTCTTACTCTTCCATTTAGCCCTATGCACAAAGAAAATATATGTCAGCGCTCAAAGGTTTTACCATACCATTTACACTGAGGTAGTTGTCCCTAGAGATTTTAGCCTCTGTGTCTTTTTACCTTTTGCTAATTTAAAACAGGAGTACTTCAGGCATGGTCATTTGTCAGCAACTTTTCCTTCTCGGTCTGTGTTTCTCTCAGTTTTAAACCTGTTTTTGTGTGTTCTCACCGTCACATCACTGGCCCTGTGGGTTTGAACCTGACTAAAGGATTTTATTGTTCCTTCAGCTGTCATTTCTTCCCCCTCTCTGCAGGTAAACAAAGACTTTGGCTCTATTTTCTCCACTTTGCTGCCAGGGGCCACTGCTAAGCTGGCTCCACCCCAGGACAGTGGGGTCTTGGAGGGACTTGAGTTCAAGGTGGCCTTGGGCAATATTTGGAAGGAAAACCTCACTGAGCTCAGTGGTGGGCAAAGGTCAGGACAAACGCTTGTATTATTGCAGAGTTTTGTGTTTGCATCGTAGTGAGAGGTTTCCCTGGTTAATACTGAAGTCGGTCAGTTTTTTTTCCTTGAGAGCCATGTTTGTCTGTTTTCAGATCACTGGTGGCCTTGTCTCTCATCCTGGCCATGCTGCTGTTCAAACCTGCTCCCATCTACATCTTGGACGAGGTGGATGCTGCTCTGGATCTCTCACACACACAGAACATCGGACACATGCTGCGCACACATTTTAGACATTCTCAGGTATAGTAAAACACTTAGCACTTACTTGAATTACTTAATGGTTTTCTGTACAGTGGACTGTTGTGATCAGTTAGAATACTTTGTGTGCTGTAATATACTATTTTGATAGTTGGTGTTTAAAGGTTTTACCCCAAGATTTCTAGAAATGTCAGGTTTAACATGTACTCAATCCTTTTTTTTTTGTCACAACTCTGTCCTACTAGTTTGTGGTAGTGTCCCTAAAGGATGGCATGTTCACCAACGCCAACATCCTGTTCAAGACCAAGTTTGTTGATGGCATGTCCACAGTGACGCGGACTGCGCTCAGCCAGAGTGATGCCAACCTTCCTCCGAAAGGCCAAGACAAGGCTCGCCCAAAAGACAAGAAGAACAAGCAGCTCATCAGCTAATGATTGGACAGGAGTAGCTGAACAGCACAGACACATTTTAAATTTGATATTGCTTCTAGAAACCATGTCGTATAACATTACAAAATGTGGCGTCTGTTAATTAATGAATTGTATATGCTCATTTTCTCTGTGCATCATAATCACTATCTTTTTTTATACAAGTTTTTATGCTTGTCTTGTTCAGCTGTTTGTATTTTTAACTGTAAATTTGTGTTCATGCTCTTCTGCAAATTTGATTTTACATATAGCCAACTTGACCATATATTTTAATTATTAAAGCAGCTCAAATACTAGTCTGTCTCTTGAGTTGGTTCAAGACGGCAAACACACTGCATACAGTGTAGTTTTAGCATGTACAGGAACATACACGGGGGACTTGGAAACCTGAGAGATTTGGACTCAGACTGGATGTACTCACATGCCA